AGGTTGGTTAAATTGCCTTGCAAAATGTTCAGCCCAACACTTCAAGCGTTTTGGCAGGTTTTGCCCGGCTGCCCACTTCGTCGCATACGGTCTCACTAACACAATGCCCCTTGCTGCCTGTTTCCCTTATCAGACGGAATAACTTACGATGATCACCAACGGTAGCGGCTGTTTCCATCCCAGAGGCACGGTTAGAACACCAGGTTTCACAGTCTCTCTTCAGGCTAGCACGTAGCTTTGCCCTGAGTTGTTTGCGAGCCTCGTTTTGTTTGATTCCAGCTGGAATTCTTCGGCGAGCATCCATAATTTCCAGAGACTGTGTAGAGTCTCCATGTCCGGTTTGGTAATTGGCTTGGCCACATGAAGACATGCCTGCTAACAGTAACGTTTTACGAATATGTAACCAGTGAGCTTCGACGGTGTTTAGTGGGCGCTTACTCAGCCCAGATGTCATCGCACTTTGATACACATTCAGGACATCTGACTTTTCAGCTGGCTGGTGTCAACCAATCCGTTCACATCGAGGTTGCGGACGTCCACCGAAACGCACCCGGAGGTCGGTGCAGACAAATGCGTGGTCAGAGTCCCCGCTCGTGCTCTAAATCGAGAGACAGTTTTGGACACAGCCTCTCAAGCGGTAACTGATCGCGATATGATTGATTTGCATCCATGGCTAGCCCGCGGCTGGTGGCTGCCAAGTCGCGCTTCTGCAGGTGTTGTGCCGAAAGTTAGTTTTCGCGAGAGAGACGAGCATCTTCACACAGATGTAGCAATCGCTCACCGTTATCATTACGGGAGCCTACACCATGTTAGCAGCCCAGATGAAGCTCATCATAGGAAAATTTTCCGACTTGGGCTTTTAGATCGCCAGCCAACACCACAATATCGGTATTTCTTCTGTAACGAAGGAGATCGTGTAGATGCCGATTGAAATCATCTTTCAACAATCAGTGCTAAATTTCGTGGGGGGCGTAGGCCGCAATGACAAACAGCCACCGTTTGTCCCCGCGCGACTTCGTAGCACGGAAAGAACCAGCTAATCTAACGGCGCACCCCCGACTATTGACTGGGATCTAATCGATCGGGGCAGCTTCAGCCCGTGGACGCAAAGAAATGCCGACGCCAGCTTGATCGGCATTTGAAGCTGCATCATCGCCAACGCAAATAGAATGTGCCGCAGGTGTCGCATGTGATGGATTGCAAGGTAACCACGTTGCTCGAATCTTTCAAGCGGGTTTTCGATAAACTGCAAATATCGGTCGCTATGGTCCCTAGTGTGCGGACAAGTGCTTCCTGTTGACCAATCTGTAGCAAATTGCGCACGTTGACGCTTGTCAATCTAAGCTAATCTACGGGGGGACCTCATATTGGTTTCTCATATTCTGAAGAACCCAAACCACATTTACCGTATGCTACTGGAATTGGACCAAGACACTAAACTGAGACTTCATCCAATGAAATTGACAATACAGTATAGCTGGCTTGAATGCGGCAGCAATTTCTGTTCTTTCCGTGTGTGTCAGCTTTAGAGCGCCCTCATAACAATTTCCTCTCTGCTCCCTATCAGGCGATATTTAAAAGACATGTTGAACATGCGTTGTCTCATTCGCATTTCTTTTTATTACTTATTAGCAAGGGGCTTAAAAACGCAATCAAACCGTGTCTTACCAAACTGCCAACCAATGGATTTAAACTTTTAATACGCGAACATCTACGCTATTCTACTTAAGCCTACGCTGAATTCAATAGCTTTCGTTCGGTTTATCACGAAATTTTATTGCCGCAGTAAGTTCCATCCCATGCCACCTGTTAAGCATGGTATTTTACCCGTAATACGCCGATGTTCCCTCGTTACATTTCTCATCAGGCAGCCGAGGATATCACGGTGGTACACACCATGCCTGAAAAAGGCATGGTTAAATAAAAGCCGGGGTCAGTTTCACTGATACAGTGAACGTTAGCGACTATTCGTGTTTGCGGAAGTCGCCAAACCTATGACCTAGTTAAAGTTCCGAGGTGCCCATTCGAACTACCTGCGCAATAATATATCCTATAAATATAATGAATTAGTGACACTGTGAGGGAGCGTGTTACGACCATAACCGTTGTTCCAGCATCAACAGAGCTGAGGTCATTAAGAGCATAATCTGAAGCCACTAACATACGGCAGAAAGTGCCACCCGTGAGCTAGCCAGTGTTGATGCTGCCAAGCTGACTGTACACAAACATTTTGGATTAGCCCATGAATACACCCCGAGGCACACCACATTTTGAACTATATCTGCCACATCAACATCATTGAGTGATTCAAACCAATAGCGATATCACAATTCGAGCGTATATGGGCCAACATATGCGCGGGTTTCGTTGATCCTAGTTTCTTACGAGAAACCGACGTCAACTCTAAGTGTGACCTTCTGTGTTCAAGTGCCGTGTGTTGAACCATCTCCTGTGAGATTAGGCGATGAATGCCGTGAAGGTAACAGGAGATTCCTGCATTATAAAGAACCATTTTTATAGCAGTAGTACGGTTTGTCATGTTGGAATGGGGCTGTAATTGGTAAAAATTCGGTGGTAGTATAGCAGTCTTCAGTTATTCCTAGAATTTTAGCGCGAAATAATAAGTGAAGTCTGGAAACGTATGAGTTTCAGGAATAAAAAAATGACAGTTTTCAGAAATGGCATGTGTTCCAGTTCCCGCTGCAATTTATGTGCCTGACATGAAACATTATGGTACTGCTTGACAGCCTCCGCACGGCGAACTTCAAATGCATCACCTCTAATACAGTATTTCGCGTATAGTAAAGTTATTATTGTCGTGCATGTTCCCGGATACATCTATTATGCCTAGAACATGACAATACATTGATTAGCGTTTAGAATAACAGTTTAGGTGACAGGTTTGATTAGAACTTATATGGGTATGTGAAAACAAACAAGTTTTATGTACGTCTAAGCCATCTCATTAAAAGAACGAACCTTAGCTTAGTCGACTGAACTCGTTTGCTCTGTTACAAGGTTTGCGGAAAGCGTAGGTTGGGTTGTAATCGCAAAACTTAGCTATCGACTGTTGACCCACATTTTACTACTTCTTATCGCTTTCCGTCTTACGATCCTGATGAGTTCTCCTGTGCTTCGCTTGAGAATTTACGGGATATGAATCACAGTAAACACCAGCTGCGTTTTTGCAGTAGACTCCTAGAACGTGTGCCGTTTCAACGTCAATCAAAAGCTGCATTTGCTAGTGCAGTTGAGTATAAGGTGTAGCATTTAATCTAGTAGAAGTCCTTTCCTCGAAGCAGTGTTCTCTATGAAAGATGGGATGTCGTTTGTAACCCTGTTGTTTAATATACTTAGGAGCATTGACCATAATGGGGCATACGGATTTTAGGTCTCATAATCGATCCTATATCTTGCCAAATATCGTTATGCTGTACGATCGCGAATGACCATTTCCCAGTACTGATTTAGCAAAGCTTGTAGTTCGGAGTGAGGAAGCAAATCCACTAATATCTTTGAGCTGTGTGGCACAGATTTAGTTCTTCTCTAGCCAAGCTAAACATAATATTCAACGCAGTTTCCGATACCACCGTTCAAAGTACCTTGCAAATCAAGCTGACTTCATTTTGTTGATGATGAGCTTGATGATTATGACCTTAAATTCGAAGTCTAATGCTATCCCTCTTGGTAGCGTAATTTTAGGACTCAGGGGAGAAGTCTTCTCTATTGTGATAATCATGTACCTCAACATACAATATGGTGCGTTTGCAATGTTTTGCTTAAGTATGGATCAGTCATGCGCAAGTCGCATCATAACAAGAGTCAACTTTTATATTTATGATTCAAAAGAGCACGAAATCTCTGTATTACACATAGTAATTTTCAGGATGCGGCTGGTAAAATTAACCGAATCATAGTAGGCGAATTACGTATTTCTATCAGAACGAGCGCAGCAACGGTGTCTCTTAATGTCATTATTTGGATGCTGCAAGCGTAGGCGCATGATTTACACATTTTCGGTGCTGCGATAGCCCGATGTAATTGTGACAGCCTCTCTTATTCGTGGGCTTTCAAAGGGATATATTAGGTTCATGACCATAGCAGCTATACAATTTATCATTGCTCAAAACGCGACTAGATTATTACAAGCATCATAAAGTCACACAGAACTTTAAAAGATGTCGAGGTGTTGAATTGTGCAACACTACGCTGCATCTACTAATGAATGATGGTGCAGAACTTCATTAATATACCTTGAGGACATTGCTCATATCTGCAAGCAAACCCGAGTGAGTGGAACAGTATAATAGTTATTGACGTTTGGTAGGAAGTAGCAGAATCAGCACCTGGTCGCTGACTGGGATTGTCTGTGTACAAAATTCTTCTGCGCCACTCTCGGCGAATCAATTTGATTTGTGCTTCTAACAGCTAGCAACTACCGGTGCATGAAAGCTTTTGGCAAATAAGTCAACGATATACATGGAGTACAGGTAAGTTTATCGGAGAGTTCGGCCATGTTTGTAAGTCTATTCTTCGTTAAAATTTGGCGACTTTATTTGTAAACATGTCAAGAATCATAAGATGACACGGTGTGCTCTTGAGTTTAAATGTTGTTTTATATATTATGCGCTGAGTTACCTACCCACACGTATCCTATTTTGATTTACTGTATAAAGGCAATTTATGCTGATGCATTTACTTAGACAACTGCCATATTTTTTCATAAAGATGCCGCCTGTTTTCTTGTAGTAATGTAAATCACTGCGCGCAAATCGGACACGCCTTTGCGTTTATAGCATACGTGCCTGCTTTTGTTTCAGCCATGCAACATAAATTATCATTGCTCTTTTATGGTTTAGGAATTAATTTTCCTAATTATCTACTCGTTACAATTGAACGTGACGCTTTAACGTGTTCGAATAACACTTGTTCCACCCGAACTAAGAAAAATCCTTTCTATTTGCAACTGACCCTCATCCATTTACTACATTTTCCTACAGTTTCCTGAGCAAAAGTACATCGTAAGTAAATTGTGAGTAAATTTAAGTAAATTGTGAATTGTTCCCCCGCCAGAGCAGCTAGATTCCCAGCGCCGTTTAGGTCATCTCTCCCAACACTATCCACCATGAGAACTAACGAGAATCCTATGGATGAAAATTTTGACTGGTTATCACCGTACGTTTCATCAAACACTGAAGCTGCAAATCTAGACACACCGCCTCTCCTAACTTTTTATGGCATTGACAGCCGGCTACCATCTTTTGACGAAATATAATATGTGGATGAGAATAGACTTTTCCACACGATATGGGATACACCTTTACGAGTCTTCTGTGAGTCCCACGCGGCTGCTCCATTGCAGCATATTCTGACTACTGCATGCCAAAGACTTGCCAGTCCCCAGCAACTGCGCGGATTTAAAGCACATATCTAAAGATACATCAGTGTTGCTCTTCTTGTTTCTCTAATCGGTTTAAAAGTAATGATATTCCAGAAACGAGTATTGATACTAATAAGCCAGCGTTCTAGGCGGCTGACAGGAAGCGTTTCACCCGGTGTCCTAGGAAAGCACATTCACCCATGTAACCAGCCTGTTAAAAAGTACCTAATAGCTTGGGGCATTTGTTAGCAGCAGATAGGTCTAAATTTGTGTGCAGTGCATGTAACTTAATGTGCCTATATTGCAACGAAGTGTTCATGGCTTGGGGCCCAATTGCATAATCAGCATATCCCTCTTGTTTATTTACACTCAAAATACAGGGATTCCAAACTGTTTCTCTGTACAAATCGGTTCTCCGTTGATACCGATTGGATGACTTGCAGTATTTCGAAAACAGTGCCTCTCACAGTATATGTACCAAAGCCTCTTTCCTGGGATAATTAGAGTAGACCAGCGCATGTATTCTTTTGGACGTGATAACCCCACGGATAGGAATATGGAGGTCTCAGTTTTAGGCAACATACTATTTCTTTTGGCTGCAATTCCCTAGGTTGTGTACCCCATACATTTCCATCTAACTACAATACGTTACCACTTCCACTGCGGTAGGAACTCCCCTCAATGGATCGCATGAATTCGCTCACTAATGCCTTTCGTACTTCACGTACTATCCATCTGAAAAACTCAACACTGGTTAAAAGTTAGTGGTTGAAATACCTATCAACTTCCATACCAGTCGGATTTTATTTGTTAATTTATGTGCTCTAGTGTACGGCACTCGTAGTTATTCGGGATAATGATCATATTTAATGAATTAACCGCACGATATTCGCTGTTTTCTACTACGTGCTCGCTCTTCCGTTGCGAATAACGAAGCCTGGTCGCGTTATCTGTTTTTGGTTGTCAGAATTCTCTCTTATTTATCCAGAAGCAAACCGGATTCGTTTAGTTGAAAGTTTCGGCATCGTTCATTTATATTTCTTCTATATAGTTTCTATCGTTTCTTTCGTGGAGAACATTTCGTGTATTTCAGATGTGTCCTGCCTGTCGTAAAATTTTAAGTGCTTTTCACACAGTTGAAAAGTACCACACTTACCCCTTTTTGGTTCCTTTTCGAAAAATGCTTAACACAAAGCAAATGCCGTTAGGTGATTAAATTGTGGCTCTAGTGTACAAATTTCGTGCATTAGATTATCTGCTAATTCCTATCGTCTCTTACCAATCGACATGACTCCATGAATTTTGTGCAACAATTATCGCATTCAAATGCAATCAGTGAAACTTATAACAGCAACCGTTGCAGGTCACGACCAAAAGCGTTTATGTGTCCCAAAACTGGTTTGGATTTTATCTAAATGTTAACCCAGGTTTAATGCCATTCTTTGTCTTCTGATAACGCTCCCTCGCCATCCTGTTTCGGCAGGTATGACACTTACTGAGGCTAATGATGCATTGTCTTTGAAATCTGGTATCCCTATTTACCCATAAACCAGACAGGTGTTAGAGGGCAAACAGGGAACACATTGAGAGAAGAAGCCACGAAACTAAGTGTAGTTTCTAGATTTTGTTCAATACAAAGCCTGGTAAATTTAGACTCGAGTCTGCTTTCCTCATGCAGCAACGGACTCGAATGATAAGTGGCGATCAAAACTGTTACTTTGCAGAGGCCCGACTTAAACAAATGACGTTTTCATGCATATTATGATCATGACGTGGAGCTATGCAGATCGTGGTTGCTAGGACTTTTAATGTGGGAGGCGACGGAGTGAAAGTGAGACAGGTCATCTGCAACTCAAATCTCCTACTAATCTGGACCAGCTTATATAGAAACGTTTTGCAGAAGAGACCAGCTTGAAGCTATTATTTTAGCGGCTTAGCAAACTGCGAAGCAAGTGGGTAAATATTGGACCGGATTTACCCGAAAGCAACAACAGAGCGACATCATCTAGAAAAAGTGGTGAAACGTTGAGGGAAATCCTTCGTATTGTAGCTTTTTGGGTGGTCAGAAAACGCAACTGAATTCTGAAGTATTTTTCACCTACTCTTCAGACACTCGGGGTAGTTGCTACCGCGGCCTGCGTAAAGACGTTATCAACTAATGCAGGATTATTAACAATTGAAACGGGTTGTGCCGCTTAGTTGCTTTCAAGCTACTATATGTAACTTCACTCGCATAGAGATGGTTTAAGGTAAGGTATTCACCCAGAAGGTTAAATATAATAGTTACTTTTCCTTCCACGTTGATATGCTTTCGAATGTTCTCAGTGACATATCGTTCTAAATGTGGTCTTCTCTGGATTGGGCACTTTTGAGCGCCCACCGAAGCGATATCCTCCGTGGCAGTTTTATTGCTCCAACCATCTCATGCGCGCAGAACTGCTCGTGGGTGCACTTTATCGTAGTTCACTGAGCCATCATTTTAATGGTTGCCGCATCTCAATGAACATATTAATCGCTCTAATTTTCCAGTTAAGGCGATTTCAATAGTCCTCGAATTCATTGGGCTTAAGCTCAACTTATCACCTGAAATTTCGAAGTCGAAGCAGTTCGCTGATATAGAACTTGAAACTCGAGCAGCAAAACACATCTACGAAGCGATGCCCATGACACCGCGCTCGTGCTGAGACTTGATGTTAGCCAGTTGTAAGCATATGTCTGAGCTATTTTTGTTCGTCGCAATCAGCCGACAATTCCGATAAGTACAATACCTGTCCGGAAAAGCACCAGACGGCCGTTTCGCCCTATTGGGGCTCGTCAGTGGTTCGCATCATTCGGTCTTCTACGGAGGATCGAACCCCTGACTGCTAGTGGCTTGTGCCAACTAGCCCGTTGCGTTATGCAACTGAGCCATGGAGGACGGTAGCCGACCATCACGAATTGTTAGTTAATTGCGATATAGCCCGACCCATCCTCCACTGCCATGCAGGCACCTGCCATGCAGATGACAGCGGTTGGCCTTCCGGTGTCAGGACTTCCCGGCTACAGGCAGCTATAAATCGACATAGCACTTTTGGAATCCGTAAGGGCAAACTTTTTACTACTTATGAGTAGAAAGATTTTAGCGAGTATTTTTGTTAGTCGCAATCAGCCGACAATTCGGATAAGTCCAGTAACTATCCACTACGGATTCCACAAACGCTATGTCGACTCATAGCTGCCGTAGTCAAGAAGACCTGACACCGGAAGGCCAACCGCTGTCATCTGCATGGCAGGTGCCTGCATGGTAGTGGAGGATGGGTCGGGCTATATCGCAATTAACTAACAATTCGTGATGGTCGGCTACCTA